AGCAGAGGGACCATTACCCACATGTGCGTTCAAACATCATGATGGCTGACATGCATCCAAACCCAGGGTGCCCACACCGCAACCTAACAGCTTAATACTCTCCCAGCACACGCGTGGCTGCGCAAATTGCTTTCTACTGACAACTCTGACTGGGTTCGGCGCGTCCTGGGGTAACTAAGAAGAAACAACAGCTGTAACTATCGTTTGGGTTGCGCTTCCCGTCGCCTTGCATTTTTCCTTTTCTTGTTTCGGGAAGTTTTGTCTCTTTCTTTTTGTGACCCAGTGGTCTTCATCATGGATTCGCGCCTCCCCCTCTTTTTCCTACTTCTTAGTGCAGCTTCTGCCTTATGCTTAGCCTGTAGCCCCAAACAACACATTAGGAGAGGAGAAAACTGGGCAACCCACGTGCAAAACCAAAAGAGATGTTGGGCAATGTTGGGTTACTATTGTGCTGCGCTGGAATGCCTTCTGGACGCTGGCTCTGCCATACTTCCATCGCTCATGGCACAAAAGCGGATTGAATTCAATCTACCACTATTCCAGGAAATTTCCCTTGGCTCGCATGAGTCGCGTCAGTAAACATTCCACAAGTCGGTGGGTAGCTTACCGTTGCTTGCTGATCTCTCTCTCTCTCTCATCGGTATTCCTTGTGTCCTCCTCCACATGTGTGATAGAGATGCCGCATGCATGACATGAAGACCTCTGCTCCGAGACAGCCTGATGCCACCAACTTCTTTTGCTTTGGAATCATATCTTCGATCACTTTAGAAGAGTAGAGCTTACAAGCGCGCAGCCTAAGGAGATACCATAAACAGCTTGTCAGCTTGGTGTCCCAAGCTGACCTCTCATAGGAAAACAGGAAGGTCTGTGTTGGTGAGGGAACCGCACCCCTGGCGTCACCATGGACAAGGCCACATCTCACTCTTCCATAGGTTTTAAATCACCTGGATTTAACCCTGGGAGACAGCAACGAGCCTTTGTGCCAAATTAATTATTGTGCGCTTGCACAGCTGTCCACATCTGAGATGAGAGCTGTCTGAGTTCCGGGTCATGAAGTGCCACCTCCAGAATTCATAGCGAGGCGCTTCTAACAAACTCTCACCCACAGCAAATCTCAAATCTAAGCCCTGCGGCGAATTCGCCATGGCGCTCACAGGAGGATTTCGAGCATTGTAGCCTGGACTGGAAGGTGGCTCAAGAGCAAGCTTCTAGCTGTCCAAGATTCAGCCTTGTATCAAAAAGCGGAAGATTCGCCGAGAGGGCAGGAAGACCAGCGGCGCTACGTAGAGATCCAGGGTGCTGCCCTGGCTAGCCAACCCCATGGAAAAACATGAAATGGCGTCTGCAGTCTTGAGCTCTGCCTGACTTTCGCAAGAGATCAAATCCGAAAGCCGCCCTCCTGGGTCGCACTTCGCCCTGTGGCAAAACCAGGGGGACAACAGACGTGCAAGCCGCGTGCTGATGCGGCCTCATGTCCAGGCATAAGGTCCGGTTTGTTCGCCAAGCATCCTCTTGCGTGGGTGATAGCACCATGCCTGAAGATCGTGCTGTGCAGCCATGACACGAGTCCAGCTTCAATAACTCGCGTGTTGTTCAACAACGAGCCGGAACCGCCAAGCGTTCGCAATTCGTCTAGCTCGTTCATGATGACACAGGGCGTGAACTCTAGTGCGCATGCCCTGAAGCAATGTAGGGCTCCAATTGAGTGTATTGTGGCTCACAGCATCTGTGGTCGGAACCATACCATGGGGCGCAAGATGTGGCAAATTGTGACCTTGAGCACTTGGGCTAAGACATGCGCCCCCGCTACTGAAACCTTAGCCTGTGACCCTCTCAGGAGGTGGGCGCTCCTGAAGATTGCTTCCATTTGCTGCATGATTGTTCCACTGGCAGTCTTCATGCTTTAGATTACGCATTCAAAAGATTTATGGCGTAAGGTCTCCTGGCCAGCGCCTTGAGGTGATGGTTCCGATGCTAGCGGATCATACCCTAGGCAAGGGATCCACTGGGCTCACGTCCAGATTCACTCCACTCGCTTAGATCTGGGCGAGTCTGCGCAGTCTCAATCAAGGGCCCAAAGTAATAGTCGCTTGGTGCAATAATTCGAATGGAGCCACCGGATGGCACCTTCTCTGAACTGAATCAAGGTCGGGAAACTTTGCCTCTGTGCTGTCACCGGCCTCCGTGACGGTTTGCATTGTGACGGTGAAGTTTGTGTACCTGCAGGTGTACCACGCGTCGCTGCCCTTCATGTTGTCTTGTCCTAACTGTGGCCCAGGCAATCCATAGCCAGGATTGGCCGTCTCCACCGATGTCATCGTAAGCTCGGGGTATATTACCCATCCCGGAGCAGTCCAAACCTAACAACAACATGGACCTGGGGTGTCAACTTCATTCAAAACGCTTGCTGGCCTCCCTTCCCATTGCAGTGCTTGTAATGGCCTTAGAAAAGCAGATGATAGGCGAATTGTAATAGGTTGGACAACCTTCTGGAAGCTTAAGTGCGCGGCTTCTATCTGGAAGAGATTGAGCTGCGGAGTGCTTTCTGCATTGGTCGCATTCATGATAAAGAACTCAAATACCGGACCTGGTTGCAAACGAGCACTGGCACGATCCAGCACGCATCGTTTGCCCACGCTGAAATCAAAGCGTAGCAAGGTGCACCTGAGATCAATGGACGACCACCCAAGATGGGCTCCTCGTTGCGGAGCAGCAGCCTTCAGTGGCGAAGGTCTACACACACAGACATATATCTACATATATATATAGCTCACCCCCCCCAAGAACTACCTTTTGGG